GACGTGGTGGTGGTGTGTTAGTGTGTGTTGTGCTGGTCTGAGTGGATCAGACACAGCAGTGCTGCTGGAGTTTTTAAACACTGTGTCCACTCACTGTCGGTCATCCTCTAGTCCTTCATCAGTGGTCACAGGACGCTGCCCACAGGACGCTGTTGGCTGGATATTTTTGGTTGGTGGACTGTTCTCAGTCCAGCAGTGACACTGAGGTGTTTAAAAACGTTAAAATGTTAAAAAACTCATTTAAAAATGAGCGTAGAAACAAGGAGGTGGTCAGAATGTTACGCCTGATCGGTGTATATCTATCGGTTTCTTTGGTGGACAAACGGATGGACAGATAGATAAACATGTATATGGGTGGAAGAATAAATGGTGAGATAGATGGACAGATGAATCACTGGATGGATAAATAGATGGATTGATACATCAATGGATAGATGGATGGATATATCAATAAATGAACAGACTGAAGAATAGATGGATGATATATGGATGGATGGATGGTGAAATGGTTCAGTAGATGGATGGATAAATCAGTTGACTGATAGATACATAAATGGATAGATGGATACATAAATAAATACGCAGATGGATGGATGGATGGACGGATACCTGGGATACCATAGCAATGGCCTAGCAACATCTTTGCAACCACCCAGTATACCACAACAACGGCCTAGCAACACCTTAGGAACTACTTTGGATTCCATAGCAACAATCTGGGAACACCCCAGCAACCACCTGGAACACCAGAGCAACTAGATAGATAGATAAAAAATAAAAAGATAGACTTTGTCAGTTCTTTTGTTAATAGGACTCTACAGAGTTACAACAGCAACAGAACTGGACACGTCACGTACACTGAGGATTTGATTGCATTCAGCCACAAGAGCATTAGTGAGGTCAGGTACTTATGTTGGAACATTGCTGTGAGGATTTAATTGAGCATTAGTGAGGTCAGGTACTGATGTCGGAACATTGCTGTGAGGATTTGATTGAGCATTAGTGAGGTCAGGTCCTGATGTTGGAACATTGCTGTGAGGATTTGATTGAGCATTAGTGAGGTCAGGTACTGATGTCGGAACATTGCTGTGAGGATTTGATTGAGCATTAGTGAGGTCAGGTACTGATGTCGGAACATTGCTGTGAGGATTTGATTGAGCATTAGTGAGGTCAGGTCCTGATGTTGGAACATTGCTGTGAGGATTTGATGGAGCATTAGTGAGGTCAGGTACTGATGTCGGAACATTGCTGTGAGGATTTGATTGAGCATTAGTGAGGTCAGGTACTTATGTTGGAACATTGCTGTGAGGATTTGATGGAGCATTAGTGAGGTCAGGTACTGATGTCGGAACATTGCTGTGAGGATTTAATTGAGCATTAGTGAGGTCAGGTACTGATGTCGGAACATTGCTGTGAGGATTTGATGGAGCATTAGTAAGGTCAGGTACTGATGTCGGAACATTTGCTGTGAGGATTTAATTGAGCATTAGTGAGGTCAGGACCTGATGTTGGAACATTGCTGTGAGGATTTGATGGAGCATTAGTGAGGTCAGGTCCTGATGTTGGAACATTGCTGTGAAGATTTGATTGAGCATTAGTGAGGTCAGGTACTGATGTTGGAACATTGCTGTGAGGATTTGATTGAGCATTAGTGAGGTCAGGTCCTGATGTTGGAACATTGCTGTGAGGATTTGATTGAGCATTAGTGAGGTCAGGTCCTGATGTTGGAACATTGCTGTGAGGATTTGATTGAGCATTAGTGAGGTCAGGTCCTGATGTTGGAACATTGCTGTGAGGATTGGATTGAGCATTAGTGAGGTCAGGTCCTGATGTTGGAACATTGCTGTGAGGATTTGATTGAGCATTAGTGAGGTCAGGTACTGATGTTGGAACATTGCTGTGAGGATTTGATTGAGCATTAGTGAGGTCAGGTCCTGATGTTGGAACATTGCTGTGAGGATTTGATGGAGCATTAGTGAGGTCAGGTACTGATGTCGGAACATTGCTGTGAGGATTTGATTGAGCATTAGTGAGGTCAGGTCCTGATGTCGGAACATTGCTGTGAGGATTTGATTGAGCATTAGTGAGGTCAGGTCCTGATTTTGGAACATTGCTGTGAGGATTTGATTGAGCATTAGTGAGGTCAGGTACTGATGTTGGAATATTGCTGTGAGGATTTAATTGAGCATTAGTGAGGTCAGGTCCTGATGTTGGAACATTGCTGTGAGGATTTGATTGAGCATTAGTGAGGTCAGGTCCTGATGTTGGAACATTGCTGTGAGGATTTGATTGAGCATTAGTGAGGTCAGGTCCTGATGTTGGAACATTGCTGTGAGGAATTGATGGAGCATTAGTGAGGTCCGGTACTGATGTTGAATGGTCAGCTCTGGATCACTACAACTCATCCCAGAGGTATTGGATGGAGCTCCATCACTCCAGAGAACACAGTTCCACTGCTCCACAGCCCAATGCTGGGGGGCTTTATACCCCTCTAGCCCCTGCTGGAATTGGACATAGTGACCTCAGGCTCATGTGCAGCTGCTCCAGAGCGTCCTGTTCTGTCCCTTTCAGTACAAACGTTTAGTGTCAGTGAATTCTGAGATATGAAGTGACTGAGGCCTCAGATCCCTGCTGTCTCCTCTCTGCTGCTAAACTGCTAAGCCGAACCCATCGTATTGTTTTACCTGCAGATCAATATTTAATCTTTTCTCTTAATCCCTGTAAAGGTGGAATCACCTGAGGAGTTCTGTTTTGGTTTTTTGGGCCGGCAGCATTCTGACCCTGGGCCACACTTAACCATGTCCGTCTCACGCCTCGTTTCACGCCGTTTAACCTGCAGGGGAAAAGCTCATCCCACACGCAGCTGAGAGCAGTGAATGGTGGATTATACAAAACTTTAATCTGAATCCAAGTGCTAACAGTAATTACGCCACAGCACTCAGCCTTACCTTCACCCAGTAATGTCCTTACAGTTCCTTTGGTCCACTTTTCCGCTGTCAAAACAACTTTCCAAAACTTGTCATTCCTGCTCTCGGAACATTTATCCATGTTTTCTGTCAGTGCCCTTCAGTGCGGCATCTCTGGGAAACAGCAGCTTCCTTGCCTGTTGCTCTTTTAGAAGTAGACCTGCTCATATCCAGCTTTGTTTCTGTTCTGAGATATTTTAATACTTGAGTTTTCTTTTGACCCAGTCAAGGAAAATAGCCATGGCTTCTCTGACAGTCAAGAACGGAGTTTTGGTCACACTTTATTCGGCTGGTCCTCTATACACTCTCAGAAATAAAGGTAGTAAACTGTCTCTGGGTCAGTTCCTCTCTTGTCACTGGGGTGGAACCCTCAAGGGTCCATCTCAGTACCTTTAGTCAGGGAACATAACTGAACCATAATCCACTGAAATGATATGTTCTAAGCTGTACTGACTCCACACTCCCCGTCTCGTCTCCAGGCTTTTATTTTACTGTTCTGTTTAAAACATTCGGTTATGAAAAGGTACAAATACGAACTTTTCACCTGGAGAAACTTATTTAAGGTTCACAATCAGACCTTAAAACCACTGTTGGAGCTTTGAGGGAACATTTACACTGTTTGGACCTTGATGAACCAAAAATGGACCTGAACAGAACCTTTATTAATAACAGTGTAGATGATCTACAGATACTTATTATTAACAAACGTTCTGGTGATACTCGGTTGACTATCAACAACATTATGGTTAGGGTTAGGTTTAGGAGTAGGTTTAGGTTTAGGGTTGAAGTTAAGATTAGGGTTAGATTTAATATAATCTTTCACACTCAACTTCAAGTCCAGTTGCACATTGATTTTCAGTTGAATGTTAGTTAACGAGAAACCGAGTAACTACGAAGCATCTACAGTGGACCATCCAAATGAAGTGTTACCACAATTTTGAAATTTTGTGTAGAACCGAGCGCTTAAGATCTACATGCTTGCTCTTTTTTATGGATGTCATGGTTCTGGAGCGGCCACTGCTGGACTGTATTGAGCAAAGGTATCGAGCTGTATCGAGCAGAAAAGTCCGTGACAGCACCTCATCTAACTGAATCTATTTTAACCTCTTCAGCTCCTTGAGACCACCGGTGGTTCCAAAACGCACTTTGTCATATTCTTTCATATTTCATAAGCTACATTCTAAAGGTGGGGGTCGTATGAGAGCTGTAACTGTCTTCTGTCCAGTCAAATAGATGGTGATGTAATTTTAAACCCTTATAATAAAAGAAGCTGAACTCAAAATCTTTTTTCTGCTGAAAGTCGACTCATTTTCCACAAATCTGGGCTATAAACTATAAACAGATGGCGTCTCTTCAGTGATCTGCTCTGTAAACATTATTTTATAAAATAATACAAAGAGCGTCTAAGATTTTTGGCTTTCAGCAGTAAATTGTAAGCATATAGCAATATGTGATCATAAAACACGTTATGTTAATTTGAGGGGAGCAAAAAAAAATAAATAAAAATTTACATTGATTTCATGCAGTTACTGAATAATTTCCTTATGATTTGGTCATGAAAATTCAGATGGACAAACCAAAATATACCCTGGAGAATAAGAGGTTAGTTAACGGTGTGACTTTGCGTATGTCTTTTCGTTTGTTGGATTGCCTGTTTTTGTACTGAAAATGTTTAATAAAAATATTTTCACAAAACTTTTTAATTCTTTTATTTATTTTTTTCACAATTCAGTTTAAGCTTCAGTAAGTTGCACTGAAATTTAAGAACCTTTTCCTCTCCTGTGAAGTTATGTTTTGTTCTGTGAGCACAGATATGAAGAAATTTTACAAAACAGTTAAACCCTGTAGCTAAAAAGTGAGGTTTACATCGTTTATCACTAAATACAGTCTTTTGGTCACACAGTGCTGCTGGCTTTTACAGGTCCCCACTGTAAATGACACCTTGGTCTCAGTGGAATAACATCCCTTAACACCCCCCTGTCTAAATGATTGATTGATTGATTGATTTTCATTCTGTCTCTTTCTGTTTCGCAGGATGATGAGGGCCAAACTCCACTGCACTATGGTAAGAAACTTTCATTATCTATATATATGTTTTTGTATGCAACTTTAGTAGCTTGCAACTTGCATGAAACTTTGTTCATATACTGCCTCCTGCAGTTACCCTGAAACTTAAACTCTGCAGCTGCAGCTGACTCTTTGTGAAACCAGTAATGCACCATGTCATAACGTTAAATGATCCCAGTTGCCACTGCGCCGCAGATCCGGGTGTTTTTCGTCGCCTTTGCTTCCTGAGGTAAATTAAAAGGTTCCAAAGCTGTTGTGTTCCATCCTGAGTTCCTTTCACCCCTGAGTGTCACTGTATCCTCTGAATTATGAGGCTGTTAAAAGGTGAAATATGAACAGTGCTACTTGCTAACACTCCTGAGCACTAATTCACATCATAAGACTGCCTTACCAAAATACCCAGCAGGCTTTGTCCTGTGAAGTGGCTTTGGCCAGTGTGGGCTCCAGTTTGAGGAGCTGGTGTTGTTATTGTACAGTGTTGAGGTACGTTATGGTGCTGACGTTTATTCAGTGTGCAGCAGTCGGAGCTTATATGTAGCTCAATCCCATTTCCTATTTTCACCTCTACCCCTTGTTTTCGAGTGTCTCTGTGCCTCTTGGAACTGAGTTACAGGGTAGTGGCTGAAATCTTCCCTCTGAAATGGGGCCCTCAAATAAAAAGAGCATCACTTCATTAACAGCTACCAGTGCTGCTCTGTAGGCGACCCTGCCAGTCTGCAGTGACAGCAGAGGAGGGTAAAGTTCAGCTCCTCACTGCTGGGCTTTAGTTACATTTAGGGACTCATATGATCTTCAAAGAGGGGGGCAATTATTTATGATCACCCACCCCTAATTCTTCAGTGATATGAAGCTGAAGTCAGATATTCACCAGATTCTCATTCGAATTTACCTGTTCCACCTTAAATGGAGTTGCAGTTCTGATGCCGGAGGCGCCAGAAAAGGACCATAATACATTGAAACATTATACAGTGGTTATCATTATAATAATAATATCATTCTAACAGTTATGATCATTATGACTGAGAAAATTCTCACATTTCTGTGTTTTTTTGATCTCTTGTTCTCCATCTTGCCGGTTTTTCTTTTTTTCTCATAACTCTGTTTGGAGTCTCTGAAAAAAAGGGTCATGTAGCCCCAACACTTCACCCTCCCCCTCTATCTCAACAAGAATCGGGACACCCAACCCCTAGATGTGAACACGCAAAACAGAGGGGTGGGGCGAGGGGTGAAATGGGATCAGGCCTTAGACTGCCTCGTAATCGGAATGTATCTGGGTTCATTTTTCCCCTGGAGCTCAGACTGGAGTTCCTGATCTGGGCATGACTGCAGAGGTCTGTCTGCTTTAGGCCAAGACATGATCAACTAAACAGAGCTGGAGATTTTCTCATTCACACCAACACCTGCTGCACCAGCTACACCAGCTAAACTCTCTCTCTCTCTCTCTCTCTCTCTCTCTCTCTCTCTCTCTCTCTCTCTCTCTGTAATAAGATACACTGTTGCCAAAGCAGTTAATAAGAAACACATAAACATAAATAAGATAAAAAATAATATTATAGATAACAAAAGAACAGTTAGTTAACAGTTATAGTAAGTTATTTACAGGATTATTAGTAATCAATAAAGGAGGTCTCTCTCTCTTTCTCTCTCTCTCGCTCTCTTCCTTCTCTTTTCTTTTTTCTCTCTCTTGGTTTCTCTCTCTCTCTCTCTCTCTCTCTCTCTCTCTCTCTCTCTCTCTCTGTGTTTATTTCTATATTCCATACCTCTTTCTCCATCTCTCTTTCTGTCTCTCTCACTTTCCTTGTTTTTTTCTGGCTTCTCTCTTCCTCTCTCTTCCTCTCTCTCTCTCTTTCTCTGTATTTCTCTCTGTCTATATATATATTTCTATCTCTCTATATTTCTATTTTTCGGTTCTCTCTCTCTCTGTAATTGTCTTTCTTTCTTTCTGTCTCTCTCTCTGTCTCTCTCTATCCACCTGTTCTTTCTCTCTGATTCTCTCCCTCCCCCTTCACTCTCTCTCTCACTCTCTCTCCCTTTCTCTCTCTCTCTGTATTTCTATTTTTCTGTTTTCTCTCTCTCTGTCTCTCTCTATCCACCTGTTCTTTCTCCATCTCTCATTCTCTCCCCCCTTCCCTTCCCCCCCTCTCTCTTTCTCTCTCTCTCATTCTATCAGGTGAGTTCCATCCATCATTGTCTCTTTTATCCCTCCTTCATTCCCTCCGTCTGTGTGCGGGTGGGTGTGGTGAGGTGAATAGACTCTGTAATAATCACCAGTTCTCCCAGAGGAAATCAGCTCACTTCTCTGGTCACATGATCAAACACATGGGCCCCCTCAACGCCCCCCTCCACCCCCCCCGACCCCCGCGTCCTCAGACTGCGTGCGCTTGTACCATCTGTCCTCAGACTGGACGCGTGGCAGGGTGATCAGCACGGCCCCCTGGGGGTGGTGGGGGTTTGTGGGGGGGCACTAAAGTAATGACAGTGGGAGGGACAGGATAAAAATCCCAAACGCTGAGGTGCTCTGTTCCTCCTCTGAGCTCGACTGGAGGAGTCGGATTAATGAAGAGGTTTATAGCACATAATAAAACCCCCAAACCACCAACTTCCTCCGGGACCCACTCACACTGCCAGTGACGCTCCTATCCGAGATAATGGCTCAGTATCAGCACCAGGACCGAACTTAAAATGGATTAAATGGATCGGATATCAGTCAGACGTGACCGATCCACATTCTATACCCCATGTGTCAAACACAAGGCACAATTCTGTTCGGCCTGCAAACATATTTTAATTTTCTATTAATATTAGCCCATTTCATAGTGTGCTGCACTACAGTCCCCAGCATGCACTGCAATGTAATGTGCTCTGACTCTCCCAACCCAAAAACAGTCTATGGAACAGCGGTTACACCGCAATTCTACACAGTCCCACACCAGTCATATCACCAAACTCACTGGCTGCATTTCAGCTGCAGTTCAACCAATATAAACATATATTATTAGCTCAGAAACTGAGCCCGAGTCTTAATGAACTTGCAGTAAAGAGAGGATGTCTAATTCAAGCCAATAGGTAGGTTTAAAAGACTGAGCACTGGGGGACGTTTAAATTCTGAATATTTCAAGTATTCATGTAATATTTCAAGGTCTACTACAAGTGTCTGTATTTTACTGTTGAAGATTTTGCGTATTTTCAATAAACAGTGGCCAGTAGTTCAGGATACAGCACAACATAATTAAAAAATGAAATAAAACATAGGCGTTCTCTGGCCCACAGGGAACCAGCCTCGTGACCAGAAGGTCACTGGTTTGATCCCCTGAGCCGACAGTATGTGACTGAAGTGCCCTTGAGCAAGACACCTAACCCCCAACTGCTCCCCCGGGCGCTGTGGATAGGGCTGCCCAGTGTGCTCACTGCCCCCTAGTGTGTGTGTTCACTAGTGGGGGTTAAATGCAGAGGTGAAATTTCCCCGTTGTGGGACTAAAAAGGGTCAATTAATCTTAATCTTAATCTTTTAGTGGTTGAGTTCGACACCCCTGTTCTAACTGTTTAACAGCTGCAGACTAAAATTGTTCGAGTACTATTTTGTAAATCTTGTAGAATAATATAATGACGGCTGACCCAGACAGCATTTCACAGGCTCTGAATACTTCTTTATATTTCCATACAAGTGCCCAAAACTCATTCTCAGCGCCACCAAAGTTAATTTATATAAAGCACTTTTTACAACAGGTGTTGTAGCAAAGCATATGAAAAATAAGTAAATATGTAAGGTCATAATACGTCAGTGTTTTTTTTAAATAGTGTTTTTATTGTGGGACGCAGTGATTTGGTAATTTGGTAGAACGGTCCATAAACTAACATTACTGTGAGAACAGAAGACATTTTGTTGCCTCAAGCTACGTTAATGAAGTCAAGATACTCAGTAGCTGAAAACAAAGCCGTTGGAGCAGAGCTTGTTTTAAAACGTCCTTGAATTCATCTTCGTTACCTTATAAAGTGTAAAATGACTGATTTATTAAAGAATTCGTCCAAATATCGTATTTTATGTAGAAGTATTTATATAAGTAGTTTAACATACTACATAAGATCATTTCCAGGACGAAATGAAAAAGCTACAAACTCAATGCAGCGGCTCCATTTTCTCTCACCAGTTCCCTCATGAGTTTGGCGCCGCTCTGGTGGCGTCACTGCGCATCCTCATTAGTGCTGCTCCATTTGTGTGACCAATTGGCTACTAAGGAGGAGTCTTCATAAGACAGTCCTCGGCTGCAGTGCCAGTCCCCAGCTGCACCTCCTCACTGTATTGCCTAGGCTGTGTTGGATTACAGGTCAAATAAAAATACCCTCTGATCTGTCCGATCAGTCTGGCTACGTTCACATTACAAGCCTCATTTCTCAAATCCGATTTTTTGCTCAAATCCTATCTCTCTGACAGGATGGTTCACACTCGTTTAGGTAAGTGATTCAAATCTGTCATTAATGTGATGAACCGACGTCCTGAAATGACCCTCATGAGCTCATCCTACTCAGTAACATCACGTGAATGAATCACGTTCATCATCAGCACAAACTAACGAGCAGAACGAGCTTCGCTGAGGAGATAATTAACTCTGATCAGCTCTCAGCTTCTTTATTAGAGCGAGACGAAGGAGAAAAAGGTGAGATGAGCTGCTTTTCCACCGTTTACAGGCTTTAACTTCTGTTCAGCGCTGCTGCCATGGTAACGCTGTGGAAAAAAAGCACATGAATTCCGATCTGAGCGTCACATTAAGGTCACATGGCCACGAATCCGATACGTATCTGATCTAGGACCACATTAATTACAGGATTGCCAAAGTATCACTGAAATAACAGAAACAAACAATGAGATCTAAGAAGTCTCAGTTTCAGTTACAAGCAAATCTCTCTCTCTCTCTCTCTCTCTCTCTCTCTTTCTCTCTCTCTCTCTCTCTCTCTTTCTCTCTCTCTCTCTCTCTCTCTCTCTCGGGTCTGAGGTTAAAAGCTCTTGTCCGTCAGCGTTTTCCAGACGAAGCGAGAGGGCAGCTTTTTTCCCTCGTCTTTTAAGGCGAGTGTTTGATTGACACTGGCGTGAAAAAGCTCTCAGGATTCTTCAGCATTAGCTCAAGAGGCTTTGCGCTAACTGGGTTAAAGAGACACCCCCCCCACCCCGACCGGTGGGGGCTGTTGGAACAACAAACGCTGCTTATATACTGAGAGGCTCCCTGTTTCGTTCGCTGCCTAACGCTGCATAAACCAAACAAACATGTTCAGTTTGGCAGTTTACATAAAGTTAGAATTATATGATTCTAATTTTATTTATAAGAGTATTTAAAATGACCCCTGGACCCTGCACAGTGCAGAAATACACAGGAACAATGGGTTCGGACAGAATTTAGTGTGCTACAGTCGAGTTCAGACAGGATTTTGTTTGGACTGAATTTTTTGGGCTGCAGTTGGATTCAAACAGAATTTGTCAGGCTGCAGTCGGGTTTGAACGGAAATTTGTCTTCTACTGTCGGGTTCAGACAAAATTTAGTCTGCTGCAGTCGGGTTCGGACAGAATTTAGTCTGCTACAGTCGGGTACAGACAAAATTTAGTCTGCTACAGTCGGGTTCGGACAGAATTTAGTCTGCTACAGTCGGGTACAGACAGAATTTAGTCTGCTACAGTCGGGTACAGACAAAATTTAGTCTGCTACAGTCGGGTTCGGACAGAATTTAGTCTGCTACAGTCGGGTTCGGACAGAATTTAGTCTGCTACAGTCGGGTACAGACAAAATTTAGTCTGCTACAGTCGGGTACAGACAAAATTTAGTCTGCTACAGTCGGGTTCGGACAGAATTTAGTCTGCTACAGTCGGGTACAGACAAAATTTAGTCTGCTACAGTCGGGTACAGACAAAATTTAGTCTGCTACAGTCGGGTTCGGACAGAATTTAGTCTGCTACAGTCGGGTACAGACAAAATTTAGTCTGCTACAGTCGGGTTCGGACAGAATTTAGTCTGCTACAGTCGGGTACAGACAAAATTTAGTCTGCTACAGTCGGGTTCGGACAGAATTTAGTCTGCTACAGTCGGGTACAGACAAAATTTAGTCTGCTACAGTCGGGTTCGGACAGAATTTAGTCTGCTACAGTCGGGTACAGACAAAATTTAGTCTGCTACAGTCGGGTACAGACAAAATTTAGTCTGCTACAGTCGGGTTCGGACAGAATTTAGTCTGCTACAGTCGGGTACAGACAAATTTAGTCTGCTACAGTCGGGTTCGGACAGAATTTAGTCTGCTACAGTCGGGTACAGACAAAATTTAGTCTGCTACAGTCGGGTTCGGACAGAATTTAGTCTGCTACAGTCGGGTACAGACAAAATTTAGTCTGCTACAGTCGGGTTCGGACAGAATTTAGTCTGCTACAGTCGGGTACAGACAAAATTTAGTCTGCTACAGTCGGGTACAGACAGAATTTAGTCTGCTGCAGTCGGGTTCAGACAGAATTTAGTCTGCTACAGTCGGGTTCGGACAGAGTTTAGTCTGCTACAGTCGGGTTCGGACAGAATTTAGTCTGCTACAGTCGGGTACAGACAGAATTTAGTCTGCTACAGTCAGGTACAGACAGAATTTAGTCTGCTACAGTCAGGTACAGACAGAATTTAGTCTGCTACAGTCGGGTACAGACAAAATTTAGTCTGCTGCAGTCGGGTTCGGACAGAATTTAGTCTGCTGCAGTCGGGTTCAGACAGAATTTAGTCTGCTACAGTCGGGTTCGGACAGAGTTTAGTCTGCTACAGTCGGGTACAGACAGAATTTAGTCTGCTACAGTCAGGTACAGACAGAATTTAGTCTGCTACAGTCGGGTACAGACAAAATTTAGTCTGCTACAGTCGGGTTCGGACAGAATTTAGTCTGCTGCAGTCGGGTTCGGACAGAATTTAGTCTGCTGCAGTCGGGTACAGACAGAATTTAGTCTGCTGCAGTCGGGTTCGGACAGAGTTTAGTCTGCTACAGTCGGGTACAGACAAAATTTAGTCTGCTACAGTCGGGTTCGGACAGAATTTAGTCTGCTACAGTCGGGTACAGACAAAATTTAGTCTGCTACAGTCGGGTTCGGACAGAATTTAGTCTGCTACAGTCGGGTACAGACAAAATTTAGTCTGCTACAGTCGGGTACAGACAAAATTTAGTCTGCTACAGTCGGGTTCGGACAGAATTTAGTCTGCTACAGTCGGGTACAGACAAAATTTAGTCTGCTACAGTCGGGTACAGACAGAATTTAGTCTGCTGCAGTCGGGTTCGGACAGAGTTTAGTCTGCTACAGTCGGGTTCGGACAGAATTTAGTCTGCTACAGTCGGGTACAGACAGAATTTAGTCTGCTACAGTCAGGTACAGACAGAATTTAGTCTGCTACAGTCAGGTACAGACAGAATTTAGTCTGCTACAGTCGGGTACAGACAAATTTAGTCTGCTGCAGTCGGGTTCGGACAGAATTTAGTCTGCTGCAGTCGGGTTCAGACAGAATTTAGTCTGCTACAGTCGGGTTCGGACAGAGTTTAGTCTGCTACAGTCGGGTTCGGACAGAATTTAGTCTGCTACAGTCGGGTACAGACAGAATTTAGTCTGCTACAGTCGGGTACAGACAGAATTTAGTCTGCTGCAGTCGGGTACAGACAGAATTTAGTCTGCTACAGTCGGGTTCGGACAGAGTTTAGTCTGCTACAGTCGGGTTCGGACAGAGTTTAGTCTGCTACAGTCGGGTACAGACAAAATTTAGTCTGCTACAGTCGGGTTCGGACAGAATTTAGTCTGCTGCAGTCGGGTACAGACAGAATTTAGTCTGCTGCAGTCAGGTTCGGACAGAATTTAGTCTGCTGCAGTCAGGTTCGGACAGAATTTAGTCTGCTGCAGTCGTGTACGGACAGAATTTAGTCTGCTGCAGTCGGGTACGGACAGAATTTAGTCTGCTGCAGTCGGGTTCAGACAGAGTTTAGTCTGCTACAGTCGGGTTCAGACAGAGTTTAGTCTGCTACAGTCGGGTTCAGACAGAGTTTAGTCTGCTACAGTCGGGTTCGGACAGAATTTAGTCTGCTACAGTCGGGTTCGGACAGAATTTAGTCTGCTGCAGTCGGGTTCGGACAGAGTTTAGTCTGCTACAGTCGGGTTCAGACAGAATTTAGTCTGCTACAGTCGGGTTCAGACAGAATTTAGTCTGCTACAGTCGGGTTCGGACAGAATTTATCTGCTACAGTCGGGTTCGGACAGATTTAGTCTGCTACAGTCGGGTTCAGACAGAATTTAATCTGCTACAGTCGGGTTCAGACAGAGTTTAGTCTGCTACAGTCGGGTTCAGACAGAATTTAGTCTGCTACAGTCGGGTTCAGACAGAATTTAGTCTGCTACAGTCGGGTTCGGACAGAATTTAATCTGCTACAGTCGGGTTCGGACAGAATTTAGTCTGCTACAGTCGGGTTCGGACAGAATTTAATCTGCTACAGTCGGGTTCAGACAGAGTTTAGTCTGCTACAGTCGGGTTCAGACAGAATTTAATCTGCTGCAGTCGGGTTCAGACAGAATTTAGTCTGCTACAGTCGGGTTCAGACAGAATTTAGTCTGCTACAGTCGGGTTCAGACAGAATTTAATCTGCTGCAGTCGGGTTCAGACAGAATTTAATCTGCTGCAGTCGGGTTCAGACAGAATTTAGTCTGCTACAGTCGGGTTCAGACAGAATTTAGTCTGCTACAGTCGGGTTCAGACAGAATTTAATCTGCTACAGTCGGGTTCAGACAGAATTTAGTCTGCTGCAGTCGGGTTCAGACAGAGTTTAGTCTGCTACAGTCGGGTTCGGACAGAATTTAGTCTGCTACAGTCGGGTTCGGACAGAATTTAGTCTGCTACAGTCGGGTTCGGACAGAATTTAGTCTGCTACAGTCGGGTTCAGACAGAATTTTGTCTGCTACAGTCGGGTTCAGACAGAATTTTGTCTGCTACAGTCGGGTTCGGACAGAATTTTGTCTGCTACAGTCGGGTTCAGGCAGAATTTTGAGTTCTATCAGCCAGTGCTGCCCTTGGTGCTGAAACTGGACACTTTTGGGCAATCTACAGTTCACAGAGATCTCACACTCTGCAGGTGTAATGAGATTGAAGACATATAGGGGGTGATTTTGAGACATATATGGGGTCCAAGAGGTTAATTAGGACTCAGGACTGCTATATGTTGCACCTTGGTTACAGCGTATGGATAATTTTCCCAGGACTGTGTTCTCCTGTGTGGAAAGTGAATGTACGTGCATCACACACATGGTCTCATTGCCTCTCTCTCTCTCTCTCTCTCTCTCTCTCTCTCTCTCTCTCTCTCTCTCTCAGCTTCAGCCTGCGAGTTCGCTGAAATAGTGGAGTTGCTGCTGGAGGCCGGTGCTGACCCATCCATTAAGGATAGTGAAGGTTCTCTGCCGGAGGAAGTGACTGAGTCCAGCTCCATCTCATCTCTCCTGCGGCAGTACACCGCCCCCAAAGGATAAAAACCTAACCCTAAACCCCTACGCCCTACGCCCTACACCCTACACCCTAAACCCCTGGACCCAGACTACAGGCTACATCCCCTAGAATATTGACAAATGACCAAATCTCCACCAGAGTCCAGAACTACTGGGAAACGTCCCCTCCATCAGCAGGCCACAGCCGGACTGAGTGACCTTTCTGTCTGACCATTAGAGAAGAACAGGACCTGATGCCGCCTCAGTGACCATGTTCTATAAATCAGAATGCTGTACAAATAGTTCTGCAGTTAAACGTGTTTAGGTTGAGCTGAGTGACCGTTTGAAAGGACCTGCGGTTGTACTTTAATTAGAGCTAGAGTGAAGGATTAGGGCTAGATTTAGGTTTTGGTTTAAGGGTTTGCAATATTATCAGGTTTCAGTGACCTTCCATAATCGCTGATGATAAAGGTTCTGAAAAGGGTTCTTTGTGTGATGCTATAGAACAGTGGTCCTCCTGGAGATCTGCTTTTCCAGCACAGTTTAGTTCCAGACTGCGTCTAACGTACTCGTACCTACACTCTTAAAGATGGTTCTTCATTAAGTTCTTTATTAAGGACAGTGGTTCTGTATAGAACCACGGCCACTCAAAGGACCATTTGCATGCTTAAATGGTTCTTTGCATGGTGAAGTGGTTCTTCAGACTGATGGAGAATGTGTTGTATATGGTTCTATATAGAAGTTCTGCTATTGTTATGATGTCAAGCTTGAATACAAAAAAAAACCCTTTTTGGTACTATATAGAACCCTTTCCAAAAAGGTTATGTATAGAACCATATACAACACACTCTCCATCAATCTGAAGAACCATTTCACTGTGTAAGGAACAATTTAAGCATGCAAAGTGTTCTAATTCTTACAAAAAGATGGTTCTTCAAGAGTTCTTTAGTAAAGATACAGTTTTTTTATAGAACCATGAACATCAAAGAACCGTTAACATGATGTAATAGTTCTTTGCATGCTGAATTGGTTCTTCAGATTGATGGAGAATGTGTTGTGCATGGTTCTATACAGCACCACAAAGGGCTCTGCTTTTATGATGTCAAGCTTGTATACAACAAAAGAACCCTTTTTGGTGCCATATAGAACCACATACAACACATTCTCCATCAATCTGAAGAACCATTTCACCATGCCAAACCATTTCAGCATGCAAATGGTTCTGTGAGTGTTCATGGTTCTATATAGAACCATTGTCTTTACTAAAGAACCCCTGAGGAACCATTGAAGTTCATTAGCTGAAGCAAGTGCGGCAGAATTTGGTTGAGACCAGACTCTGCGGGTAGGTGGATCTCCAGGACCAGGGTTGGTGACCACTGCTGTAGAAGTACCATTTTTGGTTCCCTAAAGAACCTTTCAATGGTTGGTTCTTTACAGAACTCTTTTATAAGTGAGACGCTTGAGTGTGAGAACCTTTTTACATGTAAATGTTCTAGGAAGAACCTAGATTGGCAAAGAATCTTTACATTCTGTGGCTTCAAACTTTAAAAAAGGTTCTTTACACTCAAACACATTCGCAAACATGGCTCTTTAGGGAACTAAAGTGGTTCTTCCGTTCCATCGCTTAAAGAACCCTCCTTCTTTTTTTTAGGAGTGTAAGTTGTTGTGTTCACTATAGAAACTGATAAACTGAGATTTGCCATTTTTCATCAAGTTCATAAAGCAGGATTTCTGAGTAAAGCTGGGTAATTTTTGAGGTTCAGGACAGACCAATAAGAACGGCTCCTCCTATTGGGCCGGCTTGACTTCGGGTTTAAGTTATCCGGCTAACTGAGAAATCCGGCTTTCTGACCGAGCCCCATTCAGTTAGCTGTGTCCGGCTGTGGGCTGCAGGCGTTCAGTCAAACACAAACAACTTCCTGCTTTATTTCAAACGGTTTATTCTGAAGAATGTGACGCTGTTCTTACTATTAAAACGGTCAAATCTCAAACTGCTCGGAGTTTTGTTTGGTTGTGTCAGATCATCGCTCAGTTAAGTGCGCGAGTGTGTTGCAGCGCCTCCTGCAGGTTTTTGTTTGCTGTTTGTAGGAAAGTCACTGTTATTATGTTTGTTATGCAGCAGATTTGAGAATAAAAGCTGAACTGCATGACTTTCATACTTTCACAATTATCACAAACTCAGGCTGCCCTGACCACAGCTGGGGTTTTTAAGTGGACACGCAGATCACACACATAAGCTAAGCAAATCTTCTTTGTCTTTTACACACACACACACACACACACACACACACACACACACACAGCCTCCTTACGTCACAGACAGTCTGTAAGAATGTTTTTAGTAGCCACCACATGCTCAGATACCAAATCAGCTTTAGTTTATTCTAATGTCCTGGTCAGGTCTCTCTCTCTCCCTCTCTCTCTCTCCCTCTCTCTCTCTCTCTCTCTCTCTCTCTCTCTCTCTCTCTCTCTCTCTCTGAGCAGATGAAACCTCTAAATCTGAGCGCTCTTAACTACAGCTTGATAAGGAAGCTAATGCCCATTTATTCAAAAACAAAGGGAACACTCAGTAATCCTTCACAAATCTGCCTAGTGAGTCAGAACTCACTCTGAGGTTTGGTATTCCTGGTAACAGAGTACAGAGTTTGGTATCCCTGAATGACAGAATTTAGGGTTTTGTATTGCTAAATAACAGAATATGGAATTTGGTGTTCCTGAATACCAGAAAACAGATGTGGAATTTCTGAATAATGGAGTGTAGGGTTTGTCATTCCTGATTAATGGAAGAATACTTGTGTGAGGCATTTAGTATTTTGGAGTAACAATGAAGTGTGGGATTTGGTATTCCTGAGTAATGGAGTGTGGAGGTTTATTTTTCCTGAATAATAGTGTATGGAGTTTGATATTCCTGAATAATGAAGTGTGGGGTTTGGTATTCCTGAATAAAGGAGTTTGGTATCCCTCAGTAATGGAGTGTGGAGTTTATTATTCCTAAATAATGGAGTTCAGGGTTTGATATTCCAAAATAATGGAGTGTGGAGTTTAGTATTCCTGAATAATGGAGTGTGGGGTTTGGTATTCCAGAGTAAGTGAGTGTGTTTGATATTCCAGAATCATGGCATGTGGGGTTTGGTATTCCAGAATAATGGAGTGTCGGGTTTGATATTCCAGAATCGTGGCGTGTGGGGTTTGGTATTCCAGAGTAAGTGAGTGTGTTTGATATTCCAGAATAATGGAGTGTGGGGTTTGATATTCCAGAATCGTGGCGTGTGGGGTTTGGTATTCCAGAGTAAGGGAGTGTGTTTGCTATTCCAGAATAATGCAGTGTAGGGTTTGGTATTCCAGAGTAAGGGAGTGTGTTTGCTATTCCAGAATAATAGAATGTGGGTTTGGAAATCCTCAGTTCCTCAGAAAAGTGCCATAAACTCTGCTCTCACTTTTAGTTGACTTCTCTTTTTTCCAAGGTGGGATTTTCTTGCTGCTTGGTGGCTCAACAGATAGACCACAATGTCTCACCGCATGTTTTCTCAGGCAGTTGGCAACAAACACCAACAACTTGTAGAGCAATACAAAACATAGTTTATTGAGAGAGAGAGAGAGAGACAGACAGACAGACAGACAGACTGTTGATTGGTCAAAACAACCACCATTAAAAAAACAAAACAAAACTAGGTAGCCAGAATGGCTGCCTGCAGCAAGGTAAATCAGAACCTTGAAGCTCCTCTGTTCTTGCTACTGCTGTTAGTGTTTACTGTTAACACTAATGTCGTGAGAAATCATGTGACACCACACTATCTAGAGAACCCTGCATAGACCACTGAAGTTGTGTCGTCATTCTGTAGTCGGTGCTCTTATGCCCGTATAAGGAACTCAGGGTCTCCATGAGAAGAATGAATGGAGTTTTTGAAAATTGCGTCCTGTGATGATCAAAAGTGTTCCAAAGCTGATACGTTTTGTCCTATAAACATCCTTCTCTCGAATATCGCTGGATCCTCTGAACTACAAAGTCGTTAAAGGTTGAAATATAAATATTGATACATGTGAGCTAAAGCTACTGCGCACTGGGTTCACGTCATTAGACTGGCAGCCTCCTTAAGCACGTCTTGCCAGTGTGGTAGCGTATTTCCATGTTCAGATGAAAAGACGTCAGAACAAAAGAAGCAGGTTTCCCTGCAGTTCTCTGTTCTTCATCTGGTACTGAAACACCATAGATCTGTCCATTCTGTACTGCTTGATTTGAAAAGATCTACAAACTGACCTGCACTGAGCTGCACAGACTCAGCCCAATATCACTGCTGACCCCCTGATAAACTGATTTAGGCTCTCAGAATATCCTAATTAGTATTTTAATGCTGGTAACTTTTTCTAAGGACATTTTCACAAGACATTCGCCAGCTTCTTCTTCAAATCTTCCCGTTCCACCTTAATGATGCAGCAACTGTTGCGCCATTTAAGGTGGAACGGGGAAATTCGAACAAGCAGCCAGCGAAAAAGAAGCTGAGTTCAGCTTCATGGAGGGCTGAAAGGCCTGATATGAGGAGGTTTCTCTATTTCTACTTATCAGAGTAACATTAACTTATTTTTGCTGTTTCACAGAACCGACAGGTCAGTATTGTTTTGTCCCGTTTACCAATGTCTGTGATAGCAAATCGCAACTGCTGCACCATTTAAGGTGGAACGGGAACATTCAAGCAAGAAGCTGTGAAAAAAGAAGCTAAATTCAGCCTCGTAGTTTTAATGCTGGTAGTATTTTTGATAAGGAGTTTTAGCCTTTATCAAAATATCTAAAATATCTAATAAATAGGTTTTATTTATGGGTATACCTGTAATTATGCGCTACAGTAGAACATTTCGATACGGTAGTACAGCTCGTCAGAGCACCGCCACAGCCCGCCCTTAGTTTTGTGTAGCTTAGTGACATCAAATTGATGCGCAGTAGCTTTAGCTCGCATGTAGCAATATTAAATTAACCCAGATAGTGAGCATATATCACTCCGCTGGCTTGATAAAGTCGGCATCTCACTGACTGTTTGCCACTGCTGGTCCACCCTCGGACCACCCAGTCCTGCATATAAGCTCTAACTAGTTTTTGATCTCCTTAAACAGATTTTAAATGCACAGACACTTATTTTATAAAACAAACATTACAAACAACTGGGAGAGAAAAAATGACCAGGCCTAATGTAAAATGATTTTACAGAAAATGTTGCTGGCACTATGCTACATTAAAATTATTCACTAAACTAATTTACAAAGTATAACTAAAGAAAGGAAGGAAGGAAAAATAAAATAAAATAAACTGGACTGTAAATGGAAAAGTGATGATGAGTGTAATTTTGTCTATTACTCTGCTTAAACACCGCCTGGAAAACGCTGAGCAAAATGCCAGTGGTCAGCTTTGCCATCAGCAGGCCGACAGTGATTCACTATCCTCTTGCTATCAGGGAAGGCTCTTTAACGACCAAACGTTTTTATCTACCATAGGGGGCGATAGAGGTGATTTTTCGAAACGCTCATTCATTCTGGCCATAGAGAAATCCAGCTTAGACCCAGAGTTCCTAATAATGGGCACAACGTGGACCACAGAATGACGCACGACTCCATTGGTGTATTGGTGTGGTTGTGCTCTGGGAAATGGACACAGGTACTCGACCAGGGTGAGGAACTGCAT